GTAAGACTGTCTCAAAGAAAAAAAAAAAAACTTAGATAAATAGAATAATGGAATTCGAGAGATTATGCAGAGAAAATTATTTTTGCAGTGTCAAATGCAAACATTGTTTTTGTACTTCTTTCTTTTAAATTTTATTTTGACATAATTTCAGACTGACAAAAAAGTAAAAGGAAAATGTCTCTGTACCTACCCAGAGTTGGCCAGACTGTGAAGTTGGGGTCACTATCCTCCACACTGCTAAGTCTGTCCAAGAATTTTTACCTCAACTGGAAGGAGTTAGTTAGAGTCCAAGTAAAAAGTTAAGAGGGAAGAGTTTTGTTAGCTGTTAGCTATTAGATTTTGTTACAAGTTCTGTTGGACTTTGTTCTGGGATGCATTGAAGTTACTTAGAATCAGATTGGTCATTTTGAGGTTTGTGCTTTGTTAGAATGGATCTACAAGAGCCATTAGTCTAGGGTATTGGTTCTCAACTTGGAGTGATTTTCCCCCCAGGGAATATTTGTCTACATCATCTGGAGATATTTTGAATAGTCAAGGGTGGGGAGTGGGAGGGGTCTACATCTAGCAGATTTAGGCCTGGGATACTGCTAAGTTGTCCATAATATATACACACACACGCAAAGAATTTTAGAGCCCCAAATGTTAACAGTGCTAAGGTTGACAAACCCTAGTTTAGGGTTCATCTGACTCCACTACGAGACATTACCATTTTAGGAACTCTACCTGATACTGTGTCTATCAGGAAATCTTTCTGCAATGGCTGGTCAGAACACAAACTATACCTGGGCTTGTGTAAGGCTTAGTTCCACTTACTCCTTTCTAGTGTTTAGTTTTTTTCCTGGCCTTAGTATATTCTTTGTACACCTCACGCAGGTTGATCTTCTACTAAAGACTTGAAAGAACCCTTCTACAGATCTTTGGAGCACTTTTTCTCTTTCTGTGTATTTCCTTCCTCTAGTATTTTTGCCTCACAAATTCTAACCACACTGACTTTTCTGAACTCTGAAGTCTGTCTCTAATTTCAGTAAGGCCACTTAGCTCTTTTGGGATTCTCTCTGCACTGTAGTTTGGAAACTTCAGGCAGTAAGCTGGTATACTTGTAGCACTCAAACTCATTTGTTTTTCTTCTGTCAGGTATGGTTATCCTTTGCCACCTCTTCTCCATTGTCTGAAAACGGTTTGGTGTACTTTGTGCAGTTTCCTAGTTGTTTAATATAAAAGGGCAAATCCAGTCCCTGTTATTCTATAACGGTCAAAAATTGAAGTCCTTGTTAATTTTAATGCTCAAATTCTACTTAATTTGGCCAATGGGAGCCTCCACAAGCTGTCTCCTGTGTCCTTTTAACATGTAAGTTCTTTGTATAATCATGAGAAAATTGATTATCATTATCGAGGATATATTTACATATTTGAAAGTTCAACCCTAAAATACACAAGTTAGTTTCAGAATTGCTAAGTCATAGCTCTGCAAAACAGAAGCCTACTAGCCAAAGGGTTCAATATTTGTTTAGAGTTCTTTAAAAGTTACATGAGGTAATAACAGCTAAAATGGCGGAATAACAACATCCAAATTTTTTTCTCTCTATGAAAGCAATAAGAAAACTGTCCAAAGTATCAGAATCAACCTTTTCAGAACTCTAGAATTAACCAAAGGCTTGCAGCAATCCAAGAAGTATTTACTAAAGAAAAAATATCTAAATCTTGAACCTTGAATCTAAATCTTGATGA